ACATTTTAGGCCAGTAAGCATTCAAATCAATTCCTCCCTCAAATTATTCATATTCATGTTTTATATTTTCTTTATTAATTTGTTTGTTGTGAATACATCTCTCTTTGGAATTTTTCCCTCATATGGAGACAACACCTGAGTTACAGGTTACAGGGAAAATTTCATACTCAATTTGATGAATACATGTAAATTACAGGCACGTAGCAAGGGGGGGGGGGTGGGGGTTGGATGGGCTGCCCTCCCCCCCTTTTTCCCAACATTACCTGTACTGTAAGAAAATGTCCATTCAAAAGATGGTTGCCCAACCCATACACTTTTTACCACAGTATATACGTTGCAAGGAAATAAGGGAAAAAATTGGAAATGAATCTAATTCTTCCATGAAAAAAAGTGGCCACTACCCCCCCCCCCAACCCCCCCCCCCCTCATTTCATTTCTTTTCTTGCTAATTTTTTAGGTAAGTAAGAAAAATTTTCTTAGGTTGCCCCCCCCCCCCCCACTTTCAAAAACGATGCTACGTGTCTGAATTATATAGAATTATTTTGACTTTTTCCTTCGTAAGCCGCCCGTAGGATTGTGTATTTAGAGGCAGACACCTTAGTGCGGGTATTACTGTCTCATGACAGCATCTAGTATGTTCTGTCCATACAATTTAATTTTTCAAATAATAATTAAAACCAAGTAATGCCTCAAACTAAACATCTAACTATGATATACAAATTCTCAAATTACATTTTAGCTCATTAGAAACTAGAGGTACTATGAGCGATGAGCTCACTAAATAATACCCCCCGCCTCCCATATGGTTATAACTGGTGAAAAAGTCCATGTTTTCCTGTGGCCCAGAAACCCAAAATATGTGTCGGATCAAAAAGTAAAATAGGAGGTGCACAATGGCAATATGTAATATAGATTCTGTGAAAGTTGCATCAAATTTCATTCAGTGGTATGAGAGGAGTTGCGGATAAGAGATGGGTACCCCAAAGCGTAACAGACGGGCGGACGGACAGACGGAAGGACGGACGGACGGACGGACGTACAGACGGACGGAATTAACGATTACTATATACCCTCCCGCTTTTCAAGCGGGGGGTATAATAAAGAAATGGTCTAGATCCTTTAGAACGTCTCAGTAAATTTCAGTTTTGACCGCCATGATTTTCTTGTTTTCATAACCTTTTGGAGGGCAATCATATCAAAACTTTTTCACTTGAAAAATCCTTCTTAAGTGTTCCCTTTTCATTCAAATACCGGTATAATTTTGTTTTGAACATATTTAAAATCATTTAGCAAGACACAAACTCAACACACTAAGTTATATAAAATATACTTGAATGTTTAAAATATAAGAGAAAATGAACAGTATTCAAACTCAAAAGTCCATATAAACAATACAAATCAGTAGCAGAGCAAACATGGACCTCTTAAACATCAAAGGAGGGATCAGGTGCCATGGAGGAGTGAGCATCCCCTGCTAACTGGTCACACCCGCCGTGTACTACCTGTCTTGATTGGGACATACCGAAAATTAAAGACGTAGACAATTCAGTGCGTAAATAATCGCCTAATAATTATTATGAAAAAGGCAAGTAGCATTTAATTGAATGGTAGACTTCATTTGCATACAAAGTTATTATACCCCCGCTTGAAAAGCGGGAGGGTATATAGTAATCGTTAATTCCGTCCGTCCGTCTGTTACGCTTTGGGGTACCCATCTCTTATCCGCAACTCCTCTCATACCACTGAAGGAAATTTAATGAAACTTTCACAGAATCTTTATTACATATTGCCATTGTGCATCTCCTATTTTACTTTTTGATCTGACATTTATTTTTGATTTTCCAGAGCAAAACATGGACACTGCCATTATATTCATATGGGAGGCGGGGGTATCATTTAGTGAGCTCATTGCTCACAGTACCTCTAGTTAAAACGACCATTGAAATAATGACTTTAAATGAAACTTGTTTTCTTGTTTCATCAACATTTTTGGTCAGTAACTTACCTTGTTTTAGAAATTGTTTGAAGGAAGAGCATACTCTTGCTAATTGAGAAATACAGACCCAATATGCATTTGGTATTGAAATATTTGTACATAAGTAAGGGACATTGACGACTGAAAAGTTGAAAGTCATCGCATCTTTCATAGAGCTTTATTGTAAGGTTACAATCAACGTCTTTTTCAAGTAATATTTTCAAATAAGAAACAAAAACAATATTTCAATTACAAGCCAACAAATATATAAGATCGATATCATAATACATGTATTCAAACGTAGTCATCGTTATGAATTTATATACAGCACTATTCTACTTTTTCGCTTACGTCACAACTGATCATAATTTGCTTGACTTATAACCCCCCCCCCCCCCCCCCCCCCCGCGCTTGGAAAAAGGGAAGTTACATGTATATAGTGATCGTGGTGTCCGTCCTTGTCTGGGTACGTCTGTTATGCTTTGAGGTACCCATCTCTTATCCGCAACTCCTCTTTTACCACTGGTTGAAATTTAATGAAACTTTCACAGAATCTTTGCTACAGCGTACCATTGTGCACCTTCTATTTTACTTTTTGATCGGACATATGTTTTGGGTTTCTTAGAGCAAAACATGGACACTGCCAATCGTTCTTTAATATTGAAGGGTACAGTACTGTATGTTTCAGATACTCAGAAATAAGTCATGATAAAGATATACTGGTCATATCTGTCACATTTACGGTGTTGTATTGATTATTTGTCTTGTTTGTATTTTAAATTTACTTTGATAATTGTTCTAACGTTATTCCATAGTTTCTTTCAGTTTTCCTATTCTGGACCCCTTCGAACACCCTCTTTGGTACCTCTACACTACCCGTATTTATTCACCTGAGTTTAGGCTTCCGCCCTTCTTAAAAACCGGCTTTCGAGATATAACAGCACGAGTTCTGACTGACCAATTTTTACTGCCAAAGTTTTGTAAAGTTAAAGTTAAAGTACTGAGTATATTTTAAAGAGTTATTACAGACACTGACTTCTGAGGTGAGTAACATGTTTTATTTACATTTTCTTCTCTGTTTTGTTAATTAAACGGTCCTGGGATAACTTTGTTATTTCAAAGTATTTTAATTTTAGTTTATTCGTTTGAATGTTCGTTCGTATGTATAGTTTGTATATTCTATAAATATCATAGTGAGTAGTGTTAATTGAAAGTATCGGCTCTAGTATTGTCGTATTTAGTTTCATTATGATTCTAAACAGTAAAGTAACTATGTAAGTAAAGTTACTGTGTGTAAGTGTAAGTTACATGTAAAATAATGTAATTATTGTGTAAAAGCATTTAATACAAGTTCTGTAATGCAGCGCTGTGATGTTGACCCCATTATTATCCCATTTTCGTGTATGGTGGGTTATGTGGGTAATAACTTGTATGTAGCTTTGTGTATTTAACTGTGTAACTTAATGTGTTTACAATTGTTGTATTATTTAGGTCCCGTCCTACGTTTTACGTTCTACGTCGTTTTGTGTATGGTGTCAGTGTATGATGCACAGTGTACGGAGTATGGTGTGATGTAGTAACTTACCGTTGTGTGGACAGACAAGAGCCGGAATACTATGTACAATGAATTGTCTATATAAATGTGAAAACGTTTTTGAGTTTTTTGATTATTTGGGAATCACTAGGGAAAGAACCCGCAACAAATGGTGTCAGAAGTGGGATTGACGGAAAACAAGTGGGATTGACGGAAAACAAGTGGGATAGAAGGAGAACAACAAGTGAGTTAACTTCGATGCGTGGTAACACGACGACATGTGGAATCCCTTTGATGTGTGATGTCTGGGACACGTGGTACGTCTAGGATCTCTGGAGTAATTTGGATCTCTGGAATCAAATCGACAGAAGTTCCAATGGTTTGGGCTACAATTCCAAAGAGACAACCTAACGGACAATCAAGATCCTGGAAGTCCAACTGGAAACAGTGCCTGAGGGAAATTTGATCTCCTTAGGAAAACCTTTCGTCATGCACTGGATTTGACCCAAGACATTGAACAGATTTCCTAATGTGCTAGTGTTTTCCTTTATTGGCAAAATTAACATTTGTTTTCCTGATTTTTGAATAATTTAAATTCAAGTGAATTTCAAACTTTGATAATTTGAATTATTTATTGAATTTTGTTTTTCAATCAAAGAAACATATTTTGTTGAAATATTACTTGTTTAATTTTCATTCAATTGTTTTCACTGTATTTTGTAGATTAGTTGGTGACCTAGTTATTCGGGACCTAGAGGTCAGCAGTTGACGCTGATATTACGAAATTTCCAAATTCAGCACTTCAGTAAGTTGTGTGTCTGTAAGTAGTTAGCGTTTTCACATCGCGTATCGCGTAAGTAAATAAAAGTGCTTGTATAGTCTAGCAACTAAACTCAGGTGTGTAGAGACTGGTATGTGGGGAAATTTCTAATTTCAGTTGTCTTTTATTGTTTGTCTGTATGATTTTGTGTTTTGTGAATTTTGATCATGGCAGAAGCTTTGAAAGAGATTATTGATTACGGAGTATCGTTAGGTTACAAAGAAGATACTCTTAGAGAATTCGTTAGACACCAACAGGATATTCAGAGAGAAGAGCGGCTGGCAGAAAGAGAACGTCTGAAAGAGGAGCTAGAGTACCAGCGGATGAAGGAGAAACATGATAAACAGATGCAGCTGCAGCAGCTGACTCATCAACAACAAATGGAAATGCTTCATGAGAAAGAGAAGTTGAAAATAGCAGGGGTTGAGGAGGTAAGTGTTAAGTTCAAAGGTCCAAAAATCCCGGCTTTTGAGGATGGGAAGGATGAAATGGACAGCTATTTACGTAGATTTGAACGATATGCAGAGTTACAAAAGTGGCCGAAAACATCTTGGGCTATGAGTCTAAGTGCACTCCTTAAAGGTAGGGCTCTCGATATTTATGCATTATTACCAGCAGATGATGCTTTAGATTATGACAACCTGAAGATAGCACTCCTCAAACGCTATGAGCTTACAGAGGATGGGTTTAAACACAAGTTCAGATCAGCAAAACCAGAAACGGGTGAGACATTCGTACAATTTTCTGTTAGAATGAGTAGTTATTTGCTAAGGTGGTTAAAAATGGCCAAAATAGCAGACACATTTGAGGCATTATTTGATTTAGTATTGCGTGATCAGTTTTTGAATACTTGTAACAGAGATTTGACCTTGTTTCTAAAAGAGAGAACACCAAAGAGTATACAGGAGATGGCACAATTAGCAGACCAGTATCGAGAGGCAAGAATGACCAACGCTGCGACCCTCAGCAATGTCAAAGGCAATGAATTTCAACACCCAGTGAAGTTTCGTTCTGGTTCTGGAAATCACAAAGACTTTTCAGGTGAGAAGAGAATACAAAATTCAAACAAAGCATTTGTTCCAAAATCGGAAAGACGTTGTTTTAAATGCAACAGGATAGGGCACATTGCATCGGAATGCAGAACAAAACCAAAGGTCGGTGCTGTAACAACAGAAGAACAGAATGAAGGCCATAATTCTTCGGCTAGTACAGAGGAACACGCAGCAAAGGTAACTTTTGTTAGCACAATGCCAACAGACACTGGAACCAATTCTATGAATCTTGATGCATCCACAAGAGTTTCACCATCATGCTACCAACTGCAACACAACATGCCAGTATCAGCAGGTTTTGTTGAAGGTAAGCCAGTTACGGTACTAAGAGACACAGGATGCAGCGGCATAGTGGTTCGAAGAAGTAAGATTGGTGAAGCAAATTTGATTCAAGATAAGTTTCAAACATGCATTTTGGCAGATGGTTCATCTATTAGAGTACCAGTTGCTTCCATCTTTGTTGACACGCCCTATATTACAGGAACATTTGAAGCATGGTGTATGGAGAAGCCAGTCTACGATCTAATCATCGGGAATGTAGCTAAGGTACGAGCACCTGGAGATCCTGATCCTGAATGGTCAGAGGCAAATGCTGTTGAAACCCGTCAACAAGCAAAGGTAAAATTAAAACAGTACCCTCAACTAAAAGTTCCAGAAATACTTAAGGGAAACATCACTCCAGACGAGATTAAACTAGAACAACAAACCGATGACTCACTGCAGAGAATGCGACAATGGGCAAGTTCCGGACAAGTGGTTGACAAACGAACTGCAACAATACGATGGTTCATGCTGCACGGGTTTGTATATCGTGAATATCAAACCAAGACTGAATCAGGTAAGTCTTACAAACAGCTTGTAGTCCCAAAGAAATTCAGGGAAATTGTCATGAAATTGGCACATGAGTCAATCATGTCTGGTCATTTGGCTATATCACGTACATCGTCAAGAATTCTTTCTGAATTCTACTGGCCTGGACTACAGACTGATGTCAAGTTGTTTTGTCGTTCTTGTGACATCTGTCAAAGGACCATACAAAAAGGTAAGGTTTCTAAGTACCCTCTTCAGAAGATGCCACTTATTGATGTTCCTTTCAAGAGGGTTGCCGTAGACATCGTCGGACCTATGCATCCAATTACCGACAAAGGGAATAGGTATATTCTTACTTTGGTCGATTTTGCTACTAGATACCCTGAAGCTGTACCACTGCCGTCCATTGAAACGGAGAGAGTTGCGGAGGCGCTCATAGACATATTTTCTAGAATTGGAGTTCCCGAGGAAATGTTGAGCGATATGGGTTCTCAATTTACATCATCAATTATGAGAGAGGTAAGTCGGCTACTATCGTTAAATCAACTCACTACTACCCCTTACCACCCTATGACAAACGGCTTGGTTGAGAGGTTTAACGGAACCCTCAAACAAATGTTAAAACGTATGTGCTCCGATCGTCCACGTGATTGGGATAAATATATTAACCCAGTATTGTTTGCTTACAGGGAAGTGCCGCAAGAAAGTCTGGGCTTTTCGCCTTTTGACTTAGTGTATGGAAGACACGTAAGAGGGCCCATGGGCATTTTAAAAGAGCTTTGGACAAAAGAGATAGACGATGATCAGGTAAAGTCTACTTATCAGTATGTGTTGGATTTACGAGAGAGACTTGAGACAACGGCAGAGATAGCCAGAGAAAACTTGGAGAAGGCTTCTCAACGACAGGCGAGGTTCTACAACAGGTCAACTAGAGCAAGGAGTATGAAGGTAGGAGATAAAGTTTTAGTATTGCTACCCACAGATTCAAATAAGTTACTGATGCAATGGAAAGGACCTTTCAGCATCAAGAAGAAGTTAAACAAAGTTGACTACCAGATTGAAATGAAAGGTAAATTGAAGACGTTTCATGTAAATATGCTTAAAAAGTACATTAATAGGAATGATGATTCAAGCGAATCAGATCAAGATGATAAAGCTCTAGTCACATCTGCTGTTATTGACTGTTCTGCGGAGGAGGAGGATGACGAGTATGGTGTAGTGAGTGCCAGGGATACCAAAGGTGTGGACATCAATCCAGAGTTATCACCTGAAGACAGAAAAAAGGTAACATCACTTTTGGATCAGTTTACGGATGTATTGTCTGATGATCCTGGCTATACCCAATTGATTGAACACGACATTAAGATAAACTCAAGTCAACCAATCAGAGTTAAATCTTATGCAATTCCTTTTTCAATGAGGGAAATAGCTGATAAGGAAGTTGATAAAATGTTGGAATTGAATGTCATTGAACCATCAGAAAGTCCATTTTCTTCTCCAGTTGTCCTTGTGAAGAAAAAAGATGACACTTTTCGTTTCTGCGTAGATTTTAGAGCTATCAATGCATGTTCACAGTTCGATGCAGAACCGATGCCAAACGCAGATGATATTTTTTCAAAGTTTGCCAACTACAAGGTATTTTCAAGGATCGACTTATCCAAAGGCTACTGGCAGGTTCCATTAACATCGTCAGCTAAACCCAAAACAGCGTTTCAGACATCAAAAGGCCTCTTCCAATTTCGAGTGATGCCCTTTGGTTTGGTGACAGCACCGGCGACGTTTTCCAGACTGATGCGTAAGTTGTTGTACGGAATGTCAAACATTGATAATTTTATCGATGATATCATTGTTTTTACAGAGGACTTAGATCAGCATTTGGAAGTTCTTCACGAACTCTTTACCAGACTGAGAAACGCCAATTTGACGGCAAAACCTTCCAAGTGTGCAGTAGGGTACAAGAGTTTAGAGTGCTTAGGCCATATCGTAGGTGAGAACCAGTTAAAACCGAACCCAGACAAGGTAAGAGCAATTCAAGAGGCGCCAGCGCCAAGCACTAAACGTCAGTTAAGATCGTTTTTAGGACTCCTTAGTTTCTACAGGAAATTCATTCCCAATTTTTCATCTGTTGCACTACCCCTCACTGATCTGACAAAGAAGGGGTCGCCAAATAAAATTATTTGGAATCAACCTCAGGAAAAATCATTTCAAACACTTAAGGCAATGCTTTTGAAATCGCCTATTCTTAAACTGCCAGATTTATCAAAACAGTTCATTCTTCAGGCTGACGCATCGGATAGGGGAATTGGAACTGTGCTGATGCAGTTTGATGAGCATAGTGGTTTGAAACTTCCGGTGGCGTATGCAAGTCGAAAATTGAAAGACAGTGAAAGTAAGTATTCTACAATCGAAAAAGAATGCTTGGCAATTGTTTGGGCAGTCCAAAAGTTCCATCTGTACCTGTATGGACGCGAGTTCCTCATTGAAACAGATCATCAGTCGTTGATTTATTTGAACAAAGCCAAAGTTATCAACGCTAGGATCATGAGGTGGGCTCTTGGTCTTCAATCATATAGATACCGAGTTATCGCCATTAGGGGAAGGGATAATCAAGGAGCAGATTATCTTAGTAGGCAGTGATGACTTAAAATGTCAATTTGTGTAAATACGAACTCTTGTTTTTAATCTTTCGTAAATGTGTGTTCTAAAGTATTAGCATACTTTTCCATAAGGGGGAGGTATTGTCACATTTACGGTGTTGTATTGATTATTTGTCTTGTTTGTATTTTAAATTTACTTTGATAATTGTTCTAACGTTATTCCATAGTTTCTTTCAGTTTTCCTATTCTGGACCCCTTCGAACACCCTCTTTGGTACCTCTACACTACCCGTATTTATTCACCTGAGTTTAGGCTTCCGCCCTTCTTAAAAACCGGCTTTCGAGATATAACAGCACGAGTTCTGACTGACCAATTTTTACTGCCAAAGTTTTGTAAAGTTAAAGTTAAAGTACTGAGTATATTTTAAAGAGTTATTACAGACACTGACTTCTGAGGTGAGTAACATGTTTTATTTACATTTTCTTCTCTGTTTTGTTAATTAAACGGTCCTGGGATAACTTTGTTATTTCAAAGTATTTTAATTTTAGTTTATTCGTTTGAATGTTCGTTCGTATGTATAGTTTGTATATTCTATAAATATCATAGTGAGTAGTGTTAATTGAAAGTATCGGCTCTAGTATTGTCGTATTTAGTTTCATTATGATTCTAAACAGTAAAGTAACTATGTAAGTAAAGTTACTGTGTGTAAGTGTAAGTTACATGTAAAATAATGTAATTATTGTGTAAAAGCATTTAATACAAGTTCTGTAATGCAGCGCTGTGATGTTGACCCCATTATTATCCCATTTTCGTGTATGGTGGGTTATGTGGGTAATAACTTGTATGTAGCTTTGTGTATTTAACTGTGTAACTTAATGTGTTTACAATTGTTGTATTATTTAGGTCCCGTCCTACGTTCTACGTCCTACGTTTTACGTTCTACGTTCTACGTCGTTTTGTGTATGGTGTCAGTGTATGGTGCACACCCAGCAGGCATTTCAACGTTGATTCAACGTTGAATCAACGTTGCACTTCAACGTTGAATCAACGTTGCATTTTGGTTGCATATGAAAGTTGAGGCAACGTTGAAACATAACGTTGTTTCAACGTCAATTTTCAACGTTAAATCAACGTTGAAAATAGGTTGAATTTTTGGTTGATTTATGGTTGATTTTTGGTTGCAAATGAAAGTTGATGCAACGTTGAAGCTTCAACGTTGTTTCAACGTCAAATATCAACATTGAACAAAAGTGAACATATTGGTTGTAATTAGGTTGAGATTTGGTTGAAATTTTTTGGCTGTACAAACGTTGATATTTGGTTGAAATCACGTTGAATTCATATTACATGTGAACGTTTTATTTTATAAATAAATACATTTCAAATTCTAATAATTTTTTTTATTCAAGTTGCGTAATATTTATATAAGTTATAATCCAGTATTACGATTGTGAAAGAATTCATTTTAGTTTGTATTTTAAAGACAAACACAAATTTGGATTCAATCACTGAATCTCAAAAATCACTGCTTGACAAAATTTATATTCCTAGTGAAAAGGGGGTCACAGTTATCACATCAAGGTTCTTCAAAGTACGCGTCTGTCTTACACTACTAAGTTCCACAAAGTGGCGGATCCATTGATTTTAATCACGCATATACATCTGTAGTTAAGTCCCACGAATGAAAGAAATGAACAGGAGAATCCATCCTCTAGAGCAACAGCCTATTAATAAAAGAAATAAAGATGTAAAAGCTATTTGTTCGATACAATGTACGTAACACGTTATTTCAATAGATAAAAATAAATATGCATGAATAATTTAAAAAATCAGACAAAGGAATTTTTCCGGTACTTGGATTTAATTAATATGATTAAAAAGAAGTATAGTTAACTTCATATTAAAATTTGTATTAGTATGCTTATAAAAAATTATTACTAAAGAAAATGTTATAGATATACATAGACATAGTGTACTTACAAAATGTTGCATTCCTTTGTATAATTTTCACGGGCGAAGAATCTGATGCAATCAAGGCTGACTATATACAATCAATTCCCTCACCACTGGTTGAATTAACCATACGATGAACTATAATTAATTAAATTGTATAATATATTAGTATACTTATATTTCATAACCAAATGAATATCAACAATACACATAATACACGAACAAAGGATGTGCATTTCACGTAGATTTCACATATACTTATAAAACAAGAATTAAATTATGTACAGATACTAAATATACTTAATATCTTAAATCCATGAAAAGGAAATAATACTTACTAAGCAGAAGTTGATATTCCAGCCTTAATCCTTGTGTATGTATCTTGAAAACACATATTAAATATGAACAGCGCGCACTTCTTGTCCATCAGTTGAATTCAAATTTTGACCTAGATAAGCTGCAGCTATACTCTGCCCAGCAAGAAAATTGCATAACAAGGTTATCCTGACACTGAAACTGACCAACTAAGCGAGAGGCACTCCTTATCTGATATCGCGAAGGTTTTTGGGGAGTGGATCTTAAATAATGCTATTTGACCGCGGTTAATTGTCAGTGTGAAAATTGTTATGTGTTTATTTGAATTTTTCTTTTATATATTTTGTGAAAAGAAAGATTATAAAATTAATACACACAACAAAAGCACAATCGGATAAAATAAGACTTTCTAGATTCGCTCTGTATAACATTTTGCGCAAGAGTATACGGCACGGACCTATATGAGTCTAATTTTAAGAACATTAATTCGGAATAAATAATTATTTTTATTAATTTTAAAGTAACATGGAATTACAGTGAGATGTTGGATAAAGATGTCATTTATTTAATGCTTATATTTAACATATTTTATGCATATGTATTAAAAAAACATCAACAACAACAACAATATTCACAATTTATTAAATTTCACAATGGTACTAGCTGAACTGGCACAACTCTTTTGAGTAAATCAATTCATAATGCATGTGTTTCATTTATTATGTATTATTATATATATAATATTTTCTAACAATGCATACAGCCGTGTGTATCTTGCGAAAAATCGCATAAATTAAGAGTTAAAGACACCTTTATATTTTGACCTTAAAAACTAAAATGCTCAATACTCAATACCCCTTCCCTTTTTCTTAACTTTCCTAAAGTTGAAAATATGTTGGATCTTCCACGTTGTTTCAACGTTGAAATCAACAAACAGTCAACTTTGCATTTTTAAACCTTGTTTCAATTCTATAATATCAGAAAATACTCAACGTTGAAAACATGTTGAATCTTCAACGTTGTTTCAACATTGAAATATCAATAAACTTCAAAAGTTGAGAATTTGTAGCAGCTTCAACGTTGTTTCAAGGTTGAATATGGACAAGCATTCAACGTTGAAAATATGATGCATCTTCAACGTTGTTTCAACGTTGAAATATCAACGAACATCAAAAGTTGAGAATATGTTGCAGCTTCAACGTTGAAATATCGATGAACATTCAACGTTGAAAATAAGTTGCAGCTTCAACGTTGTTTCAACGTTGAAATATCGACGAACATTCAACGTTGAAAATATGTTGCAGCTTCAACGTTGTTTCAACGTTGAAATATCGACGAACATTCAACGTTGAAAATATGTTGCAGCTTCAACGTTGTTTCAACGTTGAAATATCGACGAACATTCAACGTTGACAATATGTTGCATCTTCGACGTTGTTTCAACGTTGAAATATCGACGAACATTCAACGTTGAAAATATGTTGCAGCTTCAACGTTGTTTCAACGTTGAAATATACACGAACATTCAACGTTGAAAATATGTTGCAGCTTCAACATTGTTTCAACGTTGAAAAAAGGTTGAGGATTCAACGTTGAAACCTCAACGTTGAAACAACGTTGAAATATAGTTGATCAACGTTGCAACCTATATTCCACCTCCTTTCAACGTTGAAGCAACGTTGCGTGCCTGCTGGGCAGTGTACGGAGTATGGTGTGATGTAGTAACTTACCGTTGTGTGGACAGACAAGAGCCGGAATACTATGTACAATGAATTGTCTATATAAATGTGAAAACGTTTTTGAGTTTTTTTTGATTATTTGGAAATCACTAGGGAAAGAACCCGCAACAATATCTATAATCTATTATCGACTCATTTCTAGATTTCCAATCATAGTGATTCTATCTTTACTTGTACTGAGATCATATCCTCGGAGAAATGTCTCCACATTTCTTGTTTCCTGTTCACTCTGTGGGTGTTGTCGATTAAATGATCTCTATCTATTCTACGAATAGACATAACACTTAAACTGAAGTGACAAAACTGTCAGTTATCAAGGAAATATGACGAGTTCTCTCTGTCGTACATTACTGGTACCAGTAACCTAGATACTGATTACTTAGTAAACTAGAGGTACTGTGAGCAATGAGCTCACTAAATGATACCCCCCGCCTCCCATAATGTCGATGTGTTGCTTTATATTGTTTTACGGTAATGTGTAAAGAGGAATAACTCGTCCTATGAAATGTTATCCAGAAGCTTCTATTATGTGACGTCATAGGTAAACAAAAAATGGTAATGTCCATGTTTTGCTCTGGGAAACCTAAAGTACGTGTCGAATAAAAAAATAAAATAGGAGGTGCACAATGGCAATATGTAATAAAGATTCTGTGAAAGTTTCATTAAATTTCACTCAGTAGTATAAGAGGAGTTGTGGATAAGAGAAAAAGCGTAACAGACGGACGGACGGACGTACAGACGGACGGACGGACGGAATTCCCGATCACTATATACCCTCCCGCTTTTCAAGCGGGGGGTATAACTAGAGTTACTGTGAGCACTGAGCTCACTAAATGATACTCCCCATTCTCATATGAATATAATAACATTTTCCATGTCTTGCTATGGAAAACCCGAAATATGTGTCGGATCAAAAAGTACTAGAGGTATACTGTGAGCAATGAGCTCACTAAATGATACCACCCCCTCGATCCCGTCTCCCATATGATTATAATGGCAAAGTCCGTGTCTTGCTGTAGCCGTGAAACCCAAAACATGTGTCGGATCAAAAAGTAAAATAGGAGGTGCATAATGGCAATATGTAATAAAGATTCAATGAAAGTTTCATTAACTTTCAATCCATGGTATAAGAGGAGTTGCGGATAAGAGATGGGTACCCCAAAGCGTAACAGACAGACGGACGGACGTACAGACGGACGGACGAATGGACGAAAGGACATACCGATTACAGTATACCCTCCCACTTTTCAAGCGGAGGGTATAATAAAGATTCATAGAGAGTCTTATCAAATTTCATTCAGTGGTATGAGAGGAGTTTCGGATAAGGGATGGGTACCCCAAAGCGTAACAGAAGTACATCCCGATTACTATATTTATAGTATCCTCCCGCTTTTTAAGCGAAGGGGGGGGGGGTTGAAATAAATTTACAAAAAATAGTAATAGAACAGAGGCATTATGCGCAATGAACTCACTAAATGACCCCCGATTGTAATGGAAAAGTATGTGGAGACCCGATATAAGTGTCGGATCAAAAATTAAAATAGACATTCTAACCTACTGACATAATTCAAAATACTTTTTATAATATCAAAATGAAGGGGGAGCCTACCAAGCTCAGATAACGAGGAGAAGTTTGCACTTTTCCTATGCATTCCTAATATAATCTTACAAAATTTTAAGTGAAAATTCTCGCACTTCAACTTATCAAGAATATCATGTACCGAGAGTTTGGAGATTTTAAGGAAAATACTTGGTCGATTAATGTTCCTCCATATTTCACATCCATAAAGCAAAATGGAGTTTATTGTATGATCAAATACATGAAAAGATGTTTTAACACTTGAGTTCAATGACAAAAGTTCTTTCTGCAGTTTATAAAATGCCTTTAAAGCTTTTTTATAGAGGTCTTCCGGAGCAAATGAGAAGGCATCGTCGGAAACCCACATGATAAGTAAAGACGAGATCACCCGTGAGTTTCCGACGATGATGAGAAGGTTCCAGAGGCACTAAAGAGTATTCCCAAATATCTATAGGAAGACACAGATTCCAAAACCTGGTCAAACAGCTTAAATTCTTTTTTATCAAACGACCCGCTTTATCTATAAATATCATAATTTTGATTTTTGTGACATTTACTTCTAGACTCCAATCATTACAAAATGACTGTTCTTTATGCAATTTAGATTGAAGACCTAAAACGGATTTCCTTACTTTGTACTAGTGCTCCTGACGAAACAGGAAAACGTTATATTTTTCTGATTAATTTAATGAGGAACTGAATATAGATGGCTGGAAATTCGAGAAAAGAAACCGAAGCTGTGGAATAGACAAATGGATTCAGTCACCTTCGTTTCAGTCGTATGCTCTTTCATTCTGGTTACTAATTTCGGAAATTGTGGTATGTATGAATGTTTTAATTTGCTTCCTTTAAAATGTGTTTGAGTTAACTCATCTCGGTGGCATATTGATGTTTTTCAAGTGTTTTAATTGTTTCTTTGTTTAGTTCATTTGCCTCTTGTGTCTGATCGGGACCGTAGAAATGTAGCTGCAGAACTGTAGCTCTCTGCTTGAGAAAATTCGGATAGATAAAGCAGAGAGAGCTCTACAGATCCAAGCGTTGTTAAAACCTTCGATTTACGCCGACGATTTTTTGTCGCTCAATACGGGTATTTTTAAGAAATAAATAGCAAGTTTATAAACTTCAATGGGAATTGAAGTGGGTCGGTCACGTACCGATCGACCCACTTCAATTCCCCCTGAAGTTTATAAACTTGCTATTTATTACCTATATATACATTTGAGATGGAAATTAAATATTAAATTAGATATATTCGGATTTAAATATTGCACTAACTGGTCGCCGTAGATTTCCATCAAAGATCGACATGAAAGGCGGGTACGCTTTGATATTCGTCAGGCTAAGAATTTTATTAAAAAATTTGGAAGGGAATATTTTGTTAAAGGCTACTTGTGATCAGTAATAGTGAACAGATTCTTGTCTTGGGATATTTTTATTTGTGGTAATTGATAAATAATGCTGAAAAGACACAAATAACACGTCCGAGGACTGACGATAAAAAGTTGGAGGAATTTCGGTCGCTTGAAAGGGATTTATGGGTCCGATGGATTGAGGCACTTAACCA